TAAAAATCGCTTTCCTGCGAAATCTTATTTACATACTAAAGCGGTTTCGATAAAAATGCCAAAAAGGTCACTTTTTGAACGAAAAACATTCACAAAACGCCGTTGTTTCATGTTGTTTTTTTTAAATTTTTATTTGTGTATTTAAAACTGCCGCTTGTCATAAAATTACTTACCGCGGGCTCAACCTACACATAACTCAGTTGTCTGCTGGCAGATCGATAACCCAGCAGATAACTGAGTTATGTGTAGGTTGCGTGATTTCCATACAGTTTAGCTGTGTTAGCTACTGGTTAATCAGAAGACACGGTGAATACAATGTATAATAATAAGTACTAACATATCAAAGTCCATCAAATCAGATACTATTTTTTATTGATGTCCAAAAGTTCATAAAATGTACCCAAGCATTCAAAAGGCTCAAAACAACAAAATTTTAATAAAACTAAAGAATATTTTTCAAAAATCTAAGGAATTCATAGAAAGTGGAAGTGTAAAGCCTGGAAAAGCCTAAGATTCTGCCGTTGAAAAATTGAAAGGTTTGTGTTCTACACAGAGCTGCCACTTAATTTTGTGTGAGATGTCTGCTGAAAAGTTAAAACGTTCGGGACGTTCGGGAATTGAGTTTCCATTGACAGTATATTGTCTACTGCATGGCCCATTTTTGAAATTAAAGCATTATAGTATCATACAGTCGCTCAGTCAAGATCAACTTTTTATTGTCATATCGATTTCAAATACCTCAATATTAATGTTCTTACTATATGTTGTCGTGTCTGAATAATGACATATTTTTCTTTTTAAAGGTGATTAAAGCAGCAAAACTGAAATAAAGTCATGAAACATAGCTACTGTAGTAAATAGTACGTTATAACTTGTAGCTATGTGCTGTAGTAATTCAGATACTGGCAGAAAAGATGTTATATTTTTTGGTAAAAATACCTGATTAAATGTTTAGTTTGACAACTGTTCTAAGCAGTGTTGTAGTCCTGAAACGCTAACAAGGGGGCCTCAAAGGGGGAGGAGGTGTAGAGTGCAAGTATTTTAGAAGGGCGAGTGGAGAAATGACCGCGTTGTTTATGTTAACACGATGAGAAGAACCATTTCATTTTTAGATATTTGTGATTTTATTTTCATATTCGAACGGTGATTTTCTTAATAACACCACAATAACTTCGGTACGGTTAAAGCAATCGAAAAAATATTCAATACCATTTTTTATTAACATTAAATGAATGAGATAAAACATCTTAAACATTTCTATATAGCTTACTAGGTTTTCTGTCGTTATATATTCAAAACGGCTCTATGTTAGTACGTATCGAAGCATGCTTTCATATCGTTCGCGGCATTATAGCAAAAGGAAAATTCAACCAACTGCAATATAAATACAGACGTTCTCAACTTGTTTGTATCCTCTGTAAGGCGATACGAACCTACCATATTCACTAACGCTCAGGCAATTCCGAATACAAGTCCCCCCGAATATGAGCCCCTCCGTGTATAAAATATTCAATGCCATTCTTTATTAACATTACTGAATGAGATAAAACATCTTAAACATTTCTATATAGCTTGCCAGGTTTTCTGTCCTTATATATTTAAAACGGCTATATGTTAGTACGTATCGAAGCATGCTTTCATATCGTTCGCGGCATTATAGCAAAAGGAAAATTCAACCAACTGCAATATAAATACAAATGTTCTCAACTTGTTTGTATCCTCTGTAGGGCGATCCGAACATACCATATTCACTAACGCTCAGACAATTCCGAATATAAGCCCTCCCCCGAATACGAGCCCCTCCGTGTATAAAATATGCAGGGCGCCGGAAGCAATGTGAAGCGGCGGGGCAGCCATTTCAAAAGGGCACTTGCTTCATCATTTTCTGGGCGGCAATATTTGTTAAAACTTTATTGTATGGATACTCGATTACGTTGTGGCTATCATGGGTCTGCAAACTTCGACATTAATTTTGAACAATTTTAATCGTTGCACCATACTATTAAAGGGCCGCAAAATAAAATCAGTAAACGGATGTATATTGCTTGATTTAGCATTAATTTTACTACAACTGGTTAAAAATTAAGCAAAGATTGCTTAAACATTGCTTAAAAATAGTTTTAAATTCCAATTCGTGTGAATAACGGCGCGAATTTCGAAGTGCAGTTCTGTTAAAAAGGGCAACCTGTTGCCCCCGTGCTGCTCCAGCACTGTTTGGGCAACAGGGGCAGTTGTCCCCGCTGCCCCTGTGGCTCCGGCGCCCCTGAAAATATGCGCGAACTTGAAAAACTGTCTGTCAACAATTAATCAAGTTAGGAGTGAAATACGATATACTATTTATAATCCATTCGTTACGCAGGACATCCTTGCTTTGTTTTAAAAATTGAAGGCCGCTGCATCTTTTGCAATCATGTAGCATTAATTTTAAACGTTTCTTTACTCCGTTTAATTTACCCAATCAGCGCCGTGACATTGCCCCTTTAAGTGACTTGTCAAACTCACAATTTGAGTCCTATTTTGTCACGAATAAATCAAAGTATAAAGGAGGCTAATTTATCTGATGAGTGCAACATCTTGTGGTATGAAACTAATAGTAATAAAGATACCTATATAATGGATACTATGCCTCGTTGCACTATACATACACTCATTATTTTCTTCGGTGAATTATAACAGTCAAACTTTAATTTCAAATAATTTTACATTTGTTTACTATAACCAGTATCAGCTTAAAATTTTCTGGTTTTTTTCTCAATTTAAGTGGATGTTTGTCATCCGGTGATCAAAACTTCACTTATGAGACGAAATCTGTATTTTCTCTATTTGACGTTTACATCCTGTGGTTTTTGAGGCAATATTGCGTACCTATATGTTACGAGGCTTAATTTAGGTAGTGGTGAATCGTTACATCAATTGTAATTATCTATACAATTGTCTTAATTTGCATCGTTCTGTTTCCAAGTTCTCTTCTTTCTTCAGCCTCTCTTCAGTTGTTTACTGTTCGTATTCGTTGTCTTGTTTCGTTGTTAGCTTTCTACAACTTTCATACATAATTTTTACTTCGTAGTGAGTCCACTCGATCATAGATTAAGTAAGAACAGCCGGATGTGTAACTTCAGTAAAAAAGTTGTCTCACTGTCACCATCTTCATGATAGCAAGTGTCGCTCACGTGATAATTCGTCATTTGGTAATACCTCATTGCTTTCAAAAAAGCTTTCAACACCTTTTCTACATCTTTAATTAAGGCCATGTTACACGGTGCAATTTTTCTTGCAACTTGCAATGCAACTCTACTCTTGAGAGATGTAAAATTGTCAAATACGAGAATCATTACACTCCGCTGATGTTTTCTCAACATATCGAAAATTCTTCACTGATTTCACTAATTAACATCTCTCAAGAGTAGAATTGCATTGCAAGTTGCAAGAAAAATTGCACCGTGTAACATGGCCTTTACTTTGAACAACTTTAAACATTCCACAAATGATGCTCTCGATTGTTTAATCCATAAATTTCGATCCACAAAAGCCGCAATAAAACGCAAAAGTTCGTGTTTTTCAGGACGGCATTTTGCTATAGCAAGTGTCATGGCGTGAGCATGAGGGAAATTTTAGGACACAAAGTCCTATCTGGTTACACATCTGGTGCATACTTCATCTGTGACTCGATAGTCCACTCAAGAGTAGTCTGTCTACTTGATCACAGAATAGATACCAGACCAGAAGGAACACTCCTATGTGTTTTGGCTTGGGAAAAACGTCGGAAATTTTTTAAGTGCTATGACGCCATCCTGGAGTGCACACGGCACTTTGTACCTATGTTTGGCCTGTGAAAAACTTCCGTGTGCACTCCAGGATGGCGTCATACGATGGCGTATTTTCACGACAGCATTCGTAAAATTACGGACAAAATATCGTCTGATCAGAGCATGGATAATAAAATAAATGGATAGGAAACTAGCTGACGTGACCTAATGTTTTTACTGGGATTGATGGCGTGGTTGGATGCCTCAACCTAGTTGAAAATCAAATTCTCAAAAACGGCATGTTTAGCAATAATACAGCTAAACATTTTAGTCAAAGAGCAAATAAATGTAACCACGCCATTCTACGATGAAAACTCTAAGTATTCCCGGTCAATTTTAGCAAATATTTCAAGCACTAAACAGTGAAAAATACATCGCAAATTTCGTTAAAATTGGGGACGCCAATTTCGTAGCTACAAATGTAAAAAAATACAAAACAAGGACGAAAAACATTTACCTTGAATACTTTGTCGTGGCTTAGGCATGTTTTTAAAACAATTAGACCAGTTTACGCTTCAAGATCACCCTTTTAAAGTGGAAAATATTGCAAAACAACAAATATGCCGAGAACTTTGGTAACATTCGCAATACGCGTGACGTCACGTTTTTCAACAAGGATGCAGTCAATGACGTCAGAAGTTTCCAATCCATTTATTTTATTATCCATGATCAGAGTGACACTTCTGGTCGCAGACATGTATCTATTCTGTGACTCGATAGTCCACTGACGAATTTGATTTGTGCACGCCCTTTTATACTAACGGTTGAAGGGATCTTTGTACATGTGATCCGACGAGTGGTGTGATTTGTATCCAGCCAATCAACATTGAGTTATAAAAGTGTGGCAACGCATTGCTACAGTAGCTCGTTCCAGACGTTGTCGCACTGGTCAAGTCGATGCGCTGTTCAATCGATTAAGGTTTAAATATGTTCACAACTTAAAATACTTATCAAAATATCATAGTAAAATTTTGAAACTATACCTATGTGAACTTTACCTTACTTACTAAACTAAATTTACTTACAATTTTATCGAACCCAGATTTTGATGACGTAATATTTTAATTGCATGACCGAGTGTTATCTATAGCTTGGGATGACTCATCTTTATGCCTAGAGCCTGCATGTCCATGTGAAAGGTATATGTTCATGAGACTACAGGCAGCTGCTCTCTTTTTAAAACAAATCTGCCCACAAGATAAACTATATGAAGAAACAGGTCAATCAAAACATGACATCTTCACATACACAACAGCAGCTAGTCTAACAAACTGTCATATCCTAATGGAAGAAATAAATGCACGTTTTCCGAAAAACCGAAATATTTACTTTACTATGATTTGTGGAAAAATAGCCATTATCTCTTCTCATTGAGGTCGGGAATCTTCGAGTTAAGCCCTTCGAGTTAAGCCCCTCGAGTTAAGCCCTTCTCGAGTTAAGCCCTGACCACGCCCTGATTCTCCATGACCACGCCCTTTTTCAAAAAGGGCTTAACTCGAAGAACGAAACACGATTTGGGTTGTTCGAGTTAAGCCCCGGGGCTTAAGTCGAAATTTGACAAAAAAAGATGTTGCTCGAGTTAAGCCCCGACTTTTGAAGTATGTCAACAAGTGCAATATTAAATTGTCAAATTTTCAATACAAAAAAGCCAAAACACAGAAATTCTCCCGAAAAGAAGTTATAAATCGCTAATGTAATACGATTATCAAAAACAGTCACAACTATTATCGTTAACAATATTTTGGGGTTTTCATATTAAATTAATATTAAATTTACTGACAACAGGTAATTACTTTTAGTGGATCGTTTATCCACAACAAAACAACAAAACGTTAACAATATTTTAATTATAAAGTAGATAGAATCCTATAACGCGTTCCTTTTGTTTCAATGTGCACAATATCGACAAATTAACAGTTTTACTGTAACAGAAAAGGTGCAACCTTCTCCCATCACCTTGAACAAAATTAATCTATTAAGAAAATGATCGAAAATGACAGCACGTAATCACTAAAGAAAAAGGGAGGAAAGGGAAGCAATTTCGGTATAGAATGTTCTGTCTTGACAACTGGCGCCCAGAACTCGCGCCTCATACGCACATGTACAGTAATTTTATTAGCCAAATGGTTACGAATCACGAATGGTTTCATTTGGGAAAAAACAAATTATCACGGGGAGAAATTGTTACATTTGAGTAAAATACGCAAATGTAACAATTTATCCCGTTATATTTGCGCTGCGTTGACTAGTAAAAGAGAATATTTGCAGAGCGATTAGTAATTTTATTAACTAAATGGTGACGTAGTGCCATTATTACGGAGATAAACTGTTATATTTGGGTATTTTACTCAAATGTAACAATTTCTCCCCGTGATTCGTAACAATTTG